AAGGTGATAAATTAGTTTGCAGGATTCCTAAAGTAAACCGGTATCACAAAAAGCGAATTAATAATAAATGCATCTATATAATGATGCAATAGTGTATGGAAATGGTGTTACAAAAATAAATTCAATCATCTTTTCATCAGTTAAGTAGAAATCTTTTAGTAAAAATGTTTAATCAAGTTATTGGCTTCATAGACAAAAATGATAAATCCATAGATTAAAAACAATATCAAGTTGTAAAGACATTGCAAACAAAATCGTTACAAGTGAGTTGTAACATTGGCGTGTTGGCATGTTGCTTGAAACGTGACCGAACACGTGACCGCCGAAATTATTGCCGTATTAAGTTCGTTATCTGCTTTATTATTTTTATTTTTCATCTGAAATCATTAGTTATTTTTATTTATGGATCATTCCTGTTATCATTTTAAGGGAAAACAGTAAAAATAATTGGTTTTGTCTTTATGATTTTCTTTTAAAATAGAAATAATATCATTTCCAAAATCCATGCAGTCGAAGTCGTGGGCAACAACTAGTTTACTAGCAATTGGTACCAAAGAAGCAGGAAAAATGAAGAGAACTCGATAGCCGGAAATCCCCGACACTTATCGTGAGAATCCGATAGTGACTTTACTATTGTCACTTTGTACTACTTCCTAATGCATGAGAATTTCACATTGTATCATATTATATCGATCACTTACAATATACCTACTTCAATTGATTTATTATTGAAAGGAAGTTGTATCATCACAATGGCTTACAAGTCACATGAATACATAGGTACATTGATAGCTGTCGCACGGGACTCCGGCCGCGCGGAATTAAAAAAAATAATTAGTCTATGTGTTCTTCCAGACTATGTTCTACATCTATGACAAATTACAGCCAGAACCTTTAAGACGTTCCCGAGATATCGTTACACAAACATCCATCCATACATCTAAACATTCGTATTTATAATATTAGTAAAATTACTGTGTTTGAGATTATCAAACTATCTACTAGAATCTAAGTAGATTTTTTTTTATTTAAGAGTTACAATGATAACAGCGAAAAGAAAGACAGTCTCAAATAGAAGTTATTGTAACATCTTACTTCTATTGTGACGCTTCTACATTCTTAGAAGCAAACAAAATACATTCTTAAAAGCAACATAATGGTTGCATGGCAAAGAACTTTGTGTTGTTAATTTTTTATTTAAATTCAGTACTAGAAAAATGTCGATTTACATCTGGAAAATTCCAAATGAAATTACGTTGTTGACTCACCAAGGCGGTCACGTGACCGCGCGCCTCAATCCGTCCCGCTGCGTGCGCCGTGTCACGTGACATTTGCCTGCCGGTGTCAAGAACCGATTGCCACACATTAGTAACGCTTCCATTTTGCAATTTTAAACCTTAATCTGATGCATTAAGGATTAATTTGCCATGAGAATTGTAAAACATTACAGTGTGTTGTAAATTATTTTGCATTGAAATTGTACGATATTAGAAGCGAATCTGGATGTTCATGTTCAACTATGTAACATTTGCAATTGCAAAAGTCTCTGACTGAGGTATTTTTCAGTCTACATTTACAAGGTCCTACTAAATTTAGACGTGGACTTAATTTTACTAAATGTGCTGATAAGTAGCAGATCTGGTTTTACTTCCTAGAAATAAGTTTGAAACTAACATAAATATAAAAAAATACTTGATGCATTGCATACTACATTCACTAGAATTTTCCATAATTTTTTTATGTTCAAAATTAGAAGACTAACAATATGTTCTTTCACGTATAGTGAATAAAATCGAAAACACTTTTCAAATGTTAAAATAAAAATCCAAAAAATTATTCTTTCAAAAAAAAAAATTCCACCTACGCGCTAAACTTAAGATTTATTTCCTATACTTTTTTTGCCTATTTATTCTTGATTCGTAATAGAATTTATAAATTATGTTCTTTTCTGTGTATTATTCTGTACACAAACTCCCATTACCCTGACGAGTTTGGAGCATTTTGTTATTTATTAGGGTTCCGTACCGAAAGTAAAAATACGGAACCCTTATAGGTTCACTTTGTTATCCGTCCGTCTGTCTGTCACGACTCCTTTCTTTATTTACTAGGATTACTCATTCTAGTCTCCTAATCGTATTAAAATCTCTTGCGTGTAACCGAATCTATCCAATAATGATAGTCGTGCACGTGCGTGAAGCTCCAATGGTGGGGGGTAAGTAGTGGGGCAATGGGGGGAAGGCTGTCACATGTCGCGGCTCACGCGCTCAACGCGACCACCTCATAAATATTATTATTTTCAGCCTTCATGAATTTCAAACATCGGTTCCTTCAATAACACGTTGACTGCGAGACGTATGACACGGAGCTTCTTGAGTAAAATTTCGTTACATATACGCTTTTTTGTACTCCTATAGATCGATGTTCTATCATTATCTGGTTATTTTAGCAACACTGGTTGTCGGCCGCGACTCCTTTCGCGCAGAATTAAAAAAGGTAATGCCTATTTGTTCTTCCAGGCTATGTTCTACATCTGTGCCAAATTACACCTAGATCCTTTAAGCTATTCTGGAGATACTTTCTAACAAACATAACAGTGGTAGAGCCCGCTTTAACATAACAGCGGTAGAGCCCGCTTTAACATCTTCGCACGAATCGGCCCGGCTCGCCCGGTGAAATACCACGACCACACAGAAGACAGGCGTGAAGTGGAAGCAATTCCGCGTTTCGTCTGATGAGTGTGCGTCCCGGAGGCCAAAATTAGTCCTCTTTCCCTTCCCACCCTTTTTCTTATAAGGAAAGGATGGGAAGTGGAAGGACTTTCCGGATGAGAGGATGCATGGAAAGGGAAAATATTTTCTTTCTGTGCATCCTCTTCTCCGTCCATTAAAGGTAGGCAACGCATATGTTTGCCACCTTGTGATATAAAAAAAAAACATCAATCTGCCCATCCATCCGTCATTCAATTTCAATTCAAACATTCGCGTTAATAATAATAGTAAGATTAGTATAGATATTCCAAAGATCATATCCATATTTCTACCTTATTTCAAGTGCGCCCCGACCCAACGTGTTCAACCCTTTACCAGCTTTCGTGCATGTATTAGAGATCACGTTGTGACCCAAAACTTATTCAAGGTTAAATGCAAACGATATATTAAAAGAGAAAGTGTCACCTTTAGGATAATATATTAAAATTTTAGGATATAATTTACTTTTAAAATCATATAGATTTTATGCAGTGTTTTTATTTCGATGAAACACATCCACACCGTTAGGTTTCCTGATGTTATAGCAGAGTTGTAGAATATGTCTTTATTTAAAACTCCTTGATAATTTTAACCTTTTGGGATTGGTAATAAACACTGATCTCTATAAACAGATAGGTCATTGCTTAGAAATGACAGTTTTTTCATCGTTCCGACTTAAACGCGCTTGTTGAAGTTCGTAACAGTTAATTCTAACTATAAAATTAGTGCCAATATCCACCACCGCTGTCGCCCGCAACCGTCAGCGCCAAAATGGCAAAGATCAAATTGGCACAAAATACCGCGGCTTATAGCCTGTCTATATAAAGAAATCAGTGGTAATAAACAATTGTCACCGAAAACAAAAGAAATCTATCTTTCTCAGTTTCAACATTTGTCGTGTTTAACGTAACCGAGGCGTAACAGTTATGTATTTTGTGAATTAGTTAAAATTTACAATGGAATAGAAAAGTAAAAAAGGCACGCGCTGTCTGTCCGTAACTAATGTTAATGAATACAATAAATTCACAATTCAAATACCAAGGACGAGATCTGTTTGTACATTTCGTATTTTATACGTAAACAGACCAAGTAGTTAGTATAGTTTAATATGGCACGTTGAGAACAAGCGTATTCCTCTTCCCGACGTGCCAACTATACCTTGCGCCGGGTACTATACTCCATCGAACTTATTTGGCCCGGTGGGTGAGGCGCTGTTACATCAGTAAATATGTTAAGGCTATTTTGGCATAGAAAATGACTAACTAAACGAGACGTTAGAAGACAGCGATAAATTGCTACATGACAAAATTACCACAAGAGTTCTAATTAGCTATTGCAATTGAGTTTTACTTATGCCCGACGAGGCTATCCCACCCGGTGGGCATAAGTCACACTAAATTGCGATAGCTCAATAGGTAGCTGTCATGTCCTTCTTGTTCTTTTAAGCCATTTTAAAAATCTATGTAGGTTTTACATATTTTCTGAAAGAACTCACCGCGACAGTAGCGCCTCTCTCAAAGATATTCTCATTTGACTATACTTTAGTGTAATTTTTGTCCACCGGGTCAGATAAGTTTATCGTATTATAAATCCCTAACACGTTGCCTTAATCCACGTGATGTTTTACATGATTCGATGCAAATATCAAACAGCGTGAATTTATTTTTTCATATTCGGAGCACGTTGCAATTGATTATGCATGACCTAATTTTAAAAGCGACTCGTCCGTCAGGTGACGTTTTTGTTTTAGTTTAGTTTGTTTGATATAAATGTGCAAGTGCCCGCTTTACTGAAGGATACCTTTTAAAGGACTTACTCGAGGCAGAAGCGATCATATTTGGTTCTTCTCTCGGCCGATGCTGACATGATGAGTGAGTTTGCTTGTCGATGCAATGCTTGGTAAGCGATATAAGACCTTATACACTTATGAATCAACTATGTTGCCGTGTGATATTTCTAGTTAGTATGTTAGGGCTAGACAACGCAAAAATTTGTTTCGGTTGAGTGCAAGTTTTAACGAACTAGACTATGACATCGTAGCTACAGAAATGATCGATTTGAATGCGGTTTTAATGTACGGACCGGTTTATTTTCGGATTTAATTAACATCCTGAAACCGTCGCATATTAATAAATTAGCGTTTGCACTATTATTAGTCTATTTTATACTTCGTTATATAAAAATGATTACGTAAAAATTACAAATGTGTGTGTTTTTTTTTTCTATTTTTTTTTACATTAATTATTGTTACAGTTACAACTCTAACGATGGCTTCGGGCGCGTGGGCGCCAGCGGGGGTGGCAACGCGGGGGCGGGGGAGCAGCTCGCGTTCGCAGCGCCCTCCGAGGACGAGGCAGATTTCGCCAATTACAAGAAGGGGAAGGTGTTGAGGGCAAGTCGCTATGATTATGCCCAATTTATATCTCTTTTATACGTCAACACGTTAAATGCTACTTCAAATTTCATGTACCTAATAAAATAAGTCGGTGGCATTTAACGTGTTCAATAATATTAACGACGTTCCCATATTATCAAAGTATAACAAAGTGTTCGTATTTGCATAAAATATTTTGACATCAAAAATAGGTTTCTAAATTTCGTGGCCAAAGTAAAAAAAAGTAATATTTTATTTTTGAGTTTTAAATTGGTATTTATCAATTGCACTTAAAACTTTTTATTTCTTTTTTTTCGGCGATAAAATGCAGCCACATGCATTTTATTATCGGTATGCATTTTTTTTGTTTTAGCCATTAATTAAAAGATTTAGATAAGATATGTCAAATCGCTTATCGTACTGTATTGAAAATTTCTAAACAAATATGGCTGGTAATAATTTATCCTTGACCTTAAAATATGTTAGCAACTGCAGATTCCGGTTATTATTTCAGCTAATTGTCAAACTATGACGTCATTTAACTTTCACATCTGTACCGGATTTACTGAATGGATGATTCGTCATATTCTTAGGAATTTTAGATGTATTGCTGCAGATATGTTTTTGTATTTAAAGACATACTTTCCGATTTTCCTCTTATAATAATAAGATTGTCTTGATAATATTTAGGAACAAAATTACAACTGCAGTTATATTTGGCAAACTTATTTACTATTCTTAGATTACGATGTGGACCACTAAGGATTAAATACACCAACATCATAACTCACGCCCGTAACCCAGAGGGGTAGACAGAACCCGAGGACCTCCATTTGGCGTTGTTGTGACACACCTCTTCTGCATACATACATCGTTACGCATCATCTACGCATACATGCACTTCGGTTCAAGGATTAAATCTTTCAGTAAAAATATGTCAAACTTTGGTCGACAGTTAAAATAATATCTTAGTTGTCTATTAACAATATATTCTCTTCCACAGCAAGATCCGATGTCGCACCGCATCATAGAGAAGCGCCGGCGAGACCGCATGAATAACTGCCTCGCGGATCTGTCGCGACTCATCCCACCCGAGTACCTTAAGAAGGGCAGAGGGAGAGTGGAGAAGACAGAGATCATAGAGATGGCTATACGACATCTCAAGTTCTTGCAGGATCGCGTCAATGGTTTGTAAGATCGAATCGTTAGTCACACTACACACAGACACAATAACACCATTTAATAAAGAAAAAAAACAACAACAGACTCTGACCTATACACTCATAGGAATAACACGAATCGAGTGACTTTTCTCTCGTCAAATTCGGTCCAGTCTTTTAAATTTAGGCCATCACTATCCAATAGACATGTACAATCACCTGCATATATATTTTTGGGTACGAAAGTGTATAAAATTTTTCAAGCTTTGTTAATGTATACATATTTATGCAGCTGACTGTACAAATCCTGTGTTTGTTACAGCTAGCGAGGTGCAGGCGAGCGCGGGGGAGGGTCACTACCGCGCGGGGTACCAGGAGGCGGTAGGCGAGGCGCTGCGCTACCTGTCCGAGGCGCACGGCTACCCCGCGGACGGTCTGTGCGCGCAGCTCGCTACCCACCTGCAGCGACACTGCGATCACATCACCAAAGGTGCGTTCAACACATACTCTGTTTTACTTTTGTAACTCTCGTTAATGTCAACATCGTGCTATAAGTTGTCTGGTACTCTGACGTCACATTTCATGGAACTTGGAAGTCATGCTTTTATATTTTGTTCTATATGTAATTTATCTTAGACATATAGATGTCCTCTTGATGTACTCCACGAAAAGACTACGCTTCCGATTTGTTTCAGAGTCCAGCTTTGAACCGTTAGCGCTCAGTCGCGTTGCACTTAGCGGCGGCATAACAATGAGTTAGTAGGACTCGTTTTGTTTTTGTTTTACACAGAATTAATAATAAATAAAAGTTTACAATAAATAATAATAAAAACATCAACTTATTTTACATCGTTTTTTTATGACGCAAATTCAAATTGACGTAATCTTCATCCACAATGTTGTTTTTCGAATTACTAAGAACCAAAATGTTTTTGATTATCCTGCACACAACTAAAGCACTTTGTAGTTCCGTATTCTTTCGCAAGGTAGAAACTTCAGAAATAAGGAGAGCTTTCGATCTTTTTTGGTTACGAGTACCTCAAACGGAAAACAATTTCTTTCGAGGATGTGAAGATTATTTGGTTCAGAGTAGAGGTTCTATTACTTCCATTGGGGATAAACATTTTTAATATTTAGCTTGTGGTCATCATTTGTTTCTTCGCACCTTTACAGGGGATGGCAGTCGGGATAAAGGTCGGTCGCTTGGCTCGTCCTCGGAGACGGCGAGCTCGTCCAGCAGCTCGCTGGGCTACGGCAAGGCGCAGCCCCCGCCGCGTCCGCAGCCCTACGCGCCTGATGTCTATGATACCACTACGGACGGACCATACAGCATGGACTGCGATGGTGAGCACATACACACAAGTAGAGGTAAACCTTCTGTTGCCTTCATTCTTCAACGAACCTTGGCTTGTAATCTGAATGTCTTGAGTTCGAAACCCGCCATGTACTACTGTATTTTTCGATTAAAATATTGGCATTTATCTGACATGATCTGATGTTCTCCTCAATCGTAAGATTGAGGAGAACATCATGATGCAACTTGTATATATCTGCGAAGAAATGCAAAGATGACGTTAACCAACGTTCATTGGGCCAGCGTGGTAGACTGTGGGCTTGACACCTCTTACTTACCATATGCTCCGAGCCCTTCAATGGGGACGAGTAGTGAGCTAATGATAAGTGGAGTATTTCAACATTTACAGTGGTGGGTGCGGTGGAGAACGGTGGCGCGGCGTCTCCTGCGTGCGGGGAGGCGCGGGCTGGAGGTGCGGGGAGTGCGGGGGGCAAGCGCGAGGCGCTGCGCAAACTGCGCAAACCGGAACACGACGATTTAATACACTCCTACAAGTTCAAGAACTCCATTGAAAGGCGCTTCTCAAGATCGCAGGACTCCGAGGTAAATTTACTTAAGATCGTTTTCTTAATAGTTTACTATTTTGTACGTTTCTTTCTATTTTATATTCTATATCAATGACAACATGAAGTATTTTGTGTCGGTGCAGGCAGCAGAGAGTCAGACGCGCGCGGTGAACGGCAAGCCGTACTCGCACAAGCGGAGGCGCGCAGTGCGGCCCGCGCCCGCCGCCTCCACCTCCGCCTCCGCATCCACTGAGGAGGCGCGCGACACCTCCCCGCAGGTCAGTGCACTGCACACTGCACACACTGCACACTGTACGTGCTGCACGTACTGCACGTGCGCACAGAGTAGTGAGTGTCACGTAGTACATTGTGCAGGACACGAGCAGCGAGTCCCCGCACCGGCATCAGTACGAGCAGTTCGAGCAGTACGAGAAGCCGGCGCCCGCGCAGTACGTGCCGGTCTTCGCGCTCAACTCCCTCGGTCAGTACATTTCTTTCAACTGTTGCTTATCTCTGCCTGACGAAACATACTGACCGCTGAGTGTCCTCTTAGTGTCGACTTCTCACCGATCTACATAAATGGATTGGTCATTGTTCGGAAATTACAGCTCTTATTTAGTCCCGGCTTAAACGCGTGTGGAAATTCTTGACAGTTAATTCTGTGCTATAGAATCTATTATCAGTAACTGTACTCACCGCTGTTACCAATCACAATCACCAGCGCCGAAATGGCGAAAATTAAAAAGCACAAAGTATCGCGGTTCACAGCGCCTCTCCACGTATGCGAGTGCAAGTTGTATAACATCGTATCTGTTTGTTTGTGCAGGCAAGTACTACGTGCCGCTGTCGGTGGAGTACGCGTGTGTGTCGCGGCAGCTGCGCGCGTGCGACGTGCTGGACGCGCGCGCTCCGCTCGCCGCGCTGCATCCCGTCACTATACACGTCAACTTCACGCCCTGTCTCAACTACCACGTCAAACGTGACCCCGACCCTGACTGGAGACCTGTCTAGACCTCACGTCCTTGTCTCACCTGCCTGCCCGCTAAACTCAAAGTTGCTCAGACCTTGCGGAGATTACCCGAAAAAAACGCGCCCTTACGAACCCTTAATTTTAAATATCAGTTTTTCGTTTTCTACATTACATATACGGAGTATAATTTTTTCTCAATATTACATACAGACACACCAATTTTATTAATATGTATATAGATGACATGAAAAACATGTTTAAATACATGTGTGGGATGGTATGGAGGTACGCGGAACATGGTTTGCTTCAAGCTGTACCATTCCCCCATAGATGTTCTCAAGTCGATTGTCTCGCCTTGTGTCGAACTGCTGCCCAACAAGCAAACACATCTTTATTTTAATTTATACTGTTTATGTTGTCTAGAAATATATTTCATACATGTTATTGAGTTTGTTTTATAGCATTCAAATAATATTTAAACGTGTCTGATCTTAAATTCTCTAATATACATTAAACGTAAAAAGCTGACATTTATAAAAAATACTTTAACTACTAAATTTACTTTTAATTTCATTATTTTTATTTTTTTAAGCAACGGATACGGAGCTTATAAAATAGTCATTTTAGACGGCAGCATATTTTTATTTAATTTCAAGATATATTAATATGAATAATGAAGTTACACATTTAACACTTTAATTTTTCGTTTTTTTAATTTTATATGATAAGAAGTTATGAGTATCATTTTTGTTCACATTGGATTTGGCACGTGGGGAACAAGAGTAGTCTTGTAGCCGACGTGCCAACTCAAGTCTGATATAAGTGATGTTTCGCAGTGAACTGCAAAAGACTGGTTAAAACGCAGATGTACGATGTTCTTAGTTACGGCTGTGATATAAAATTCTGCCTAGTCAAGTTGATTACATGATGCTTGACGATTTAAGAAGATTTTTTAAACATTTTTTTTATTAACCGTGGGTTTGTGAAACCAAAACCTTGTTTAAAACATATTGGTTTATCGAAGATAATGCTTTCATTTCATGACGATATGTTTTATACAGTGATTTCAGAAACCAACGGTAAGACTCGTTTGTTATTTAAGTACCACGTATAGGTATAGGGTAGTTATTAGTCATTTTCCCGCCACGCCGGTGATGGCGACTTAGTGAAAAAAAATATTTTGTTTTAAGCTGTAAGGACTTTATCGTCGGTTCTCTCGTTGTGCCAAACAACGTATTTGCATTTAAGAAAGTTATAAATAATCTAAGGCAGCCATTTAAATTATTTCCATATCTACGATGAGATATTAAAGTTTAGTTTGAAAATCATATTTTACTCTTAAATATTTTCGTATACGTATAATTTTGTATATATTTATGTCCTCTTTTGTAATGAAGATGTTTTGGGAGTTTATTTTATAGGCTTAAGTCTGTACTTACCTCAAAGCTGTAATGTTTCAGTATGTAATTATTTGCAATACAAATAAACATTTTGGCACTGGTTCGTATTTGAATATGACTGAAGAAATAATATCATCATATATGTATTATACTAACCGTGGGTTTCCGAGACCAAAATCTATATAAAACCTATCGTCATCCCGATCTTTTACAAAACAGATGTTTTAAATTGTGATTTTCTTCTCAGAAACCCGCGATAATTTTGAGTTTTATTTGTAGCTAAATTCAACATACTGTAAGTTTGTTAAAACAAGAGGTGTGGTTGGGAATCATGATTATATTTGTAAGTGATTAATTTTAATGAGAAATCAAAATTGTTTTGGCAATCTACGAAAAATATTTTTTCTTTAATAATTTTAAGTTAATGTAGTTTTTTTTTAAATATGACAGGGTCACCTACAGTATAATTTTGTTGTAATCCATAATTCGGTCATATAAATGTAATCCTGCTGATAATTACAATGTATATAGTTTGATGTAAAAGCTATTTGAGTAAATAAGTCTGTTATATAAAATGTAAATAGAAATGTTAAGAATATAATAAATGTTATAATGTTTTATGGTATTTACATTCTTTTATTTGTTATTCTTCAAGTCATCAAAAGCGTTGACATCATTTATAGAAAATATTGCGCCAAGGAGCAAATAGGTTTGTTTTTTTTTATAAAAGACTACTTGTCGCCCGTGGCTCCGTCCGCGCGGAATTAAAAAAAAAACTTGGTAGCCTATATGTTCTTCCATATTATGTTTTATATACGCCAAATTTCATCGAGATCCGTTCAAGCGGTTTGGAGATACCTTCAAACAAACAAACATCCATCCATCAAAATATGTTAAGTAGCTTCGTTACGTTATTTTGTGTCACAAATGAGTCCTCTTGTTCTTCTGAACAGCTGCACTTTTGCTCTCGGATGGAAGTCGAAAGGAAAGGCGAAATTCAAAACGAACTTTTATGTAATTAATTATCATAACATCTTTTATTCTATATTGTTATATTTAAATTTTACTTGCTTACCTCAAACTTTATGACAGAAATAATATTTAACATCTGAATAATATACAATTCTACTATATTACGATTCACTTAAGACAAATAAAAATTAATATATTGCAAAATATTCCATCGTTACATCGAATACCTCACAAAATGAAACAACGCGGGGGCTGCGGGTAGGGGAGGGGAGGACAGGGCAGGGGACGGGACAGGGAGGCAGGGGAGGGACTCCAGCCCGATCCTGGACGTATTCAAAGCAAATTATAATAACACGGTGCGTCCTTCACTTTTAACAAAATATATGTAGCCTTTGCTTACACGATAACTATCATTATATTTACATCACGTTTCTCTACAGAATGATATTAAAAGAAGTTTTTTTCATTTTATCACAAAGATTTCTTCTAATTTCTACACAGAATGTCTTAAAGTGCATCATGTCGCCCACAGATTGAATAATCCACTTCGAACAACGGAAAAGATAAAAAATACTCCTTCGTTGTTTTGTCTGTCTGTCTGTTTGTACAAAATGCGCTTTAAGAAATATACATAAGCATAAATGTACAATACAATGTATTCAACAACCAGCTCGGCGAACAGTTGACGTCATCACGTGCGCTCTCACGCTGACAAACACAAATGTCTCCTTTACATATAAAATCATATATAAACATAAGTATGAAATTAAATAAAAAAAAATGCGGCTTAATCATACATTTTTCATGTGTAATAAAATATATACAAATTGCCTTTAGGCTTTGTTATTGCAACGGGTTCACTAAAATCTAATTTGTTATGATTATGCATAAATTTAAGTAGAAATACGATGGCCATTTTCAAACATCGTTAATGAAAAATAATCGACAATTTATCTCGTATATAATAAAATAAACATTTAATACCGCAAACACACTAAATTCAATCACACAGTGAATAAACAAAACCCTTAATTATAATAATTAAAATTTGCCGTGAAAATAAGCCACTTTACCACCGCGATACTTCTTTACAACCGAATAACTGACCGAGCTATTCTGAACTTCATCAATTTATATTACACCAGGTAAATTATAAACTGCCGTTTACAATTCATATTCTAATGAAAACTCTTAAATATATATTCACCATCGTCATAGCTCCCCGCCTGTCTAAAAATTTACAAAAATTAGGCGGTCAAAACAGGCCCACATCTTTCCTACACTGTGTCGCTACAAACTGGGTAAAACAATAAGCACTAGTGTCGTACGCCGGAGGGAAATCTTACAATTATCGATATCGAATTTTTCCAAAAACGTTTTTCAGTCTCATCAGGCGCCAAAAGGACGAATGAGGCGTCCATAATTTTTTTGCAAAATTAGTTTTTGTTACAAAACTATACATTTTTTTAAATTTCTAAAAGTTTGTTTACAAATTAATTCTAATACATCAGTTTAAAAATCACATACGTTTTATTTGGAAATCAGAACCAGAATATTAATCGATATTCTCAAGGAATTAAAAGCCGTACTTGAAATTAGAAGGGCTACATATATAATAATGCCACGAACCTTTGCCAGCCCCAGGCCATAGTTTTGAGCAAAGCGGATGGACTTTCACTGGGAGAGTAGTACTAATACCTTTTTTCATCTTATACCAACATTTCAAAGTGCAAATCAAACATGTGTTATTTGCTTTATAAAAAAAAACAATGCAGGATATATTGACTTAAGTAGTAAACAAATTGCTATCTATGAAACTGTAGAAATATCGAATTGAAATGTACATGAATAAAACTATAGTTTAATTTGAACACGGGAGAAAGCATATTTTTAAATCTTAAATTATGACATCCATGTAAATAGTTTACTAATGTCATAGATCTAGAAGAAATCCATCTATGTCTATTGATACAAATTCAATAAAAACTATAAAAAGAAATTACAATCGATATCGATATATTTGTAACTACACATCACTATCTGTACTGTAACGAATTAGGCCGCATTCGAAAACATTTCACATATTCTAATCCAAACAGTTGTTTCGTGATTGAAATGTAAATTATTACAATTATATTGAAATTAAACAAAATAACAAATAGAATATTTTGCAAAATGTAATAACGGAAAGTTTGTTGTGTTTAGTTCAAAATGTTGCATTTCGTAAATAACACGAGGGTGTGCGCTGCTCCGCTCTTATTGCTAAACGAATAAAGTTCACATTACTATGCCATACAAAAATGAAGAAAACACAAAAAAATACAGAATTTCATTGCTTTTCAAAATCACATATGTGTACAAACACTAGTTTATGTTATAAACATACAAAAATGCTTTAAAATAATCATTAATGCAATTTTTATCTACAATGTGATATGTATCACAGGCAGTATATCACGTTGTGATAGATATCTGCATGTTTGTGATTGTGATATCCGACACGTGTCAGTGAGGGGAAAAGGGGGGGGGATAATAAAAAGGCAACCAGCTGCCCGACACATGTGATGTTCAAACGACCCCTTACTATATTAACACAGTTTCAAAAAAACCCTTAAATTACCTTATTCATTTTAATAACCTTAAACCTGAGTCTAACACTACACCTAGGCACCTACTTATCTACGGCAACCTACCATACAAAAGGGAGGGTAAAACGAAAAAAAAAAACAACTATAATTTACTTATGCATTATGCGTACAAAACTCCAGAGCCGACAAACCCCCGTAATAAATAGGTCCATAAAAATACATACGGATAACATATATATAAAAATAAACATTATATACCATCATACATACGTACCGCATATACCCTTAACTAGACTCGCCTATATACAATATGTACACAGGAGAAATAAAAAAAAACAATTTGTACTTGCAGAAAAACCGTGAATTAATATAGAAATATTAAAAGTAACGAAAGGGATAAAGTAAAAGTTAAAATATACACAGATTGCTTGATACACTTTCAGTTCATATAAAAGTTATAACTATATCGTTAGACAGAGACACGCCGGCGCTACTACGCCTGACATTTACAAAAATATTTCTTGTTTGTATTTCCAGCGGCGACCGCCGCCCCCCACTACCTCTCGCCGCGCCGCGACTTCCCCACATCTGCACACACAAACGTCAAGTCTTACATCTCCACCTCTCCACCTCTCTACATCTCTACATCTCGCACATCACACATCAAAGTCACCTAAACCCTCATCTAAACTGCTCAATGGATAACTCTGTTCACATAGCTACTATACTGGCATGCCAGTCTATGTGCCAGCTATCCATTTATATTTGTAAGCAAAATGAGAACACTAAAGCGTGTCAACTATTTAAACTAGATGGCGCTATAGTATCTCATTTTACATAATCACGTTTAGATGTCTTTGATTTTATAAGTTTCATTATCAACAATTTAACTTGTAGTGACGTCACTTCAATCGAGTCTCATGTTATTGTAGGCGAATAGTATCATCAATGCATGCCAACACTGAAATATTGTCTTTCAAATTTTAATTCATTTACTTATATCTAGATTAAAGGAAACATGAACAAAATATTAAAGAAATAATTGCAAAAGATTTTAAAAAGACCAGTCGTGCATGATGACCATTATAATGAGCGGACTTTTGTATTTACGATTAATTCTGTTTAACATACACCAAGGTCAAGTTAAAATAAATATTTACGCAGATGTAACTGCGCAATACACATTTTTTATTTTGAATATAAACCCGCTCACTATCTTAAAAGGACAAACTACGTCTTTAATAAATATATTTATATATAAAGTTTATATCTAGTTATATTAACTATGTCTTTATATGAGGGACGATATTTTTTTTATATATGTAACTTTATTGGTATGTTACATAGTATGTTACTTGTTGGTATCGTGGTCATAATTATGTATAGTGAAACGGGTAATAAATATTCATCAGACAATAAATGTCAGAGCGTAATTATTTGTTACACTCAACAATGTTTGTATGACGCGCACTAAGAACCATGAGTACGAGGAATTTCGTGTTTCAAAACAAAGACAATATATTTATATTAATATCCCTGGCTACTGTAATGTTGGTAAGAATAGAAAGAAAATCTTTCAGCAAACAACATGCATTTTGATATTAGTTTTACCTAAAATTGTTATATTGAAATTCGGCAACAGTTTATGACCACTAAATAAGATTTGTGTAAAGAGTTACTTTATATGTATATTTGTGTGAAAGTTGTAGGTGTGCGTGTTCTTACCGTGTGCAGGGTGGGCGCCGAGTGGGGCGTGGGCGCCGAGTGGGGCGTGGGCGCCGAGTGGGGTGTGGGCACCGAGTGGGATGTGGGCAGGTATCGCGGTGTGGGCGACGTGGGCGTGCGTATCCCTCGCGTCATCATCGTCGGGCAGCGCCAGACCAAACTCTCTACGTAGTCGCGAGCTCAGGTTCTCGCGTTGACGTTCCGACGCCGTAGGCTGGGCGTCAAATACTCCTGTAAAAACATACATTTTCGTTATCGCATTAATTTGGTAGATATTTGTGTCATAACGTGGACTGTTTTCTTTGTAGACTACCATAGAATTACATTAGTATCGCCGAGCATTTTTTTTTTAAATTAAGTTTGTTACCAATAGGAATCAATTAATTCTTAAGTTCTAATGAGTCAGTTGTAATAATTTAATTGTATGATGACATCGCTGTCGAGTCTCTGTATCAGTTATTATGTTGGTACATTGTACAATGGTTGAGAGCGGAGGCGGGCAATTTAAATTGGCCGGCTGCCAGAACTGTTCAATTGCTACACAGATAATTTTTATTTAGCGATTGTCACGACTCTAACTACTTATTCTATTGTGTTTGCAAACGTTTTATTTTTGACAGTAAAATGCGACAAACAAGCAAGCGGATTACATCGACAAGAAACAAATATACAGATGCGTTAAAGCCCCATTAGTAAAAATAGAAAAGAAAACTTCAGTAATTTGTATAAATTTCTTTTGATATTCTTAAAGTTACATCTCTCAAGAGATCTAAGAGATATATCTTTTCTCATATTAGTATGTATTCTTTTCTAACCCGACCTTATCTTTTTACGACGACCATGTGAAATGACAGAGTATATTTTCCTAGTATTATAAATGCGACGGTTTAAATGGATGGTAGTTTATTTGAAGTTATCTCCAGAACGGCTGAAAGCATCTCGATGAAATTTACCATACATATAGAACACAGTCTGGAAAAACACATAGGCCCCTAATTATTAACTCCTTAACTCCGCGCGGACGAAGTCGCGGGCGACAGCTAATATTTGTATATACATGATTCTTGCTACGTCATATATAAATGCACTATACACCGGATGCCGTAGCAATGAGATAATCCGACACACGAGTGCTAATCTAAATACTGCCAGTTGTAGACCTGTCGATACAGCATGCATGCCGCGTGTCCGTGTACCAAGGACAAATGAAGAGAATAGTACTGCTCATCATACAATGCTTTGAGGCGACATAACGCGAATAGTAAATAAAAATAAATATGAAAAAGTATATATAAGCTATTTTCTTCTAGCTCTACAGCCCTTTGTGGGCCTTGGCTTGGTCCAGCAACTAATAATAAGCTATTTTAGTGGCTCTTAATTATATATTAATATTATTGGAAACATAAACAATTCGTTTACGAGTTTCAGTAAGAGACATACTATTCTTTTATTTAATATTAATTGGCACCACAAATATCTACTATACGTCATTGTCATAGAAGATATCTTTAATGGTTTTGATAACATTCTTTATCTTATCATAAATCATATCAATAATGACAATAATATAAGCAGTAGATAAAATTCGATAAATCTATCAGCAAGGACATATAATTGCATATAAATATATGTACATCTATGTAAATTTAAAGAAATCGTTCATGTAAAAGTATTCACTTTTCTTCAACTAATGTGACTTATTAAGACTGCATTTGTAATATATTTAGCACAAATTCTAGGATGGCTAATGCAAAATTAGTACACATAGGCCACTTATTAATTTTTTAAATGCAGTATAAAGAAAAAACTTAATAAGTAGCCTATGTGTTCTTCCAGACTGTTTTATAACTGTACCAAATTTTATCAATATCTGTTAAGACGTTCCGATGATACCTTGTAATAATCCATACATCCATCTCAACTTTCGCATTAATAGTATAAGTAAAAGTAAGAGATATGCTTTTAATATTCAAATTTCATTTGCAGTCTCCTTTTTCTACTGTTGTAACAAGCGTTCATATTATAAGTGGTTGTAATAACGCTGCGATGTGGAGACGTGGCTGGCGATTTGCCAAGGCTATTCCTGTACCAACATTACGCGCTCCAGCCAATTAGTTAAACAAACACGCATTACTAAACACACACAACACAATTATTTACATTTCAAGCTTTTCGTTTGTTTTCAAATTGTCTCGATTACTGAAATTTTTGCTTATAGTAATATCATATGGCAATCTGTATTCATATTCCAAATTTATTTCAACCTAAGTTTTAAAATAATCATTAAATTTACTATGTTCTCTGTATGAAAAACACGATATTTTTTTACAAATCAAAAGCTATTAAAGGAAATTTTGTGGTGACTAACAATGAAATCAAAATTACAGGTTCTTTTGTCAATTCTCGTGTTTGGAGCGTGTGTTGACAAGTGCCCAGTCGATGGATTTATGTAAGGTCGCGAGGCCCTTTCGATAACTCCGACATTTTGCGTAAGTATTTTGCACGAGGTTTATCTTTGCATCCTCTGTCATGACCATTATACAATATGTTATTTACATATGTTATAACTACATTTAAATAATATTGATAAGCATTCATTGTGATCTTAAATAGGTCAATTTGACTTTGAATATAATATTTACTGTGACAAGATGGCGTAAAATTTGTAACTTAAAAGTAAAAAAAAACAAAAAAATTATGCTACTAGGCCCCGGCGAGATTCGAACTCGCGATCTCCTGTTTACTAGACAGGCGCTTTAACCAACTAAGCCACGGCGCCGATAGACGGCGAATGGAAAATATTGGACGCTTCATTGTGTGTAGACAACATTACGGTTCACAATTTAACGCTTTTCATATCAAAAATAACGTATAAATATAATTATACTTCGCTTTGCTAAAAATTTAAGGAGAACTAAATTCAAAATCCCTTAATTCTTATACTTAGTAAAAAAAAAAGTTAACTCAAAAATCATTTTAATTTTTTCCATGAGATTTAGACCCTACTTATATACATACAAATTAAATTACTCAATATAATATTATCACAAGTAAGGAGGCTATTTTCGTGTAAACAGTTACACAATAAAGCAGAGAAGTTATTCGCGCGCCGATAACAGCTTGAACTTTTATCAATAAAACGATATCGTATCGTAAACAACCTTGTTCTTGTTATTCACAGGAATACTATAATATTAAAACCATTCGAAACACATCAATAAAACCTGATATTTTAATAAAACACGTGCGATCACAAGGCCGCCGCTCACTCAAATCTTAAAACACATTTTGTCACAAAATGGTTTGCTATTTGTTACACTAACATATCATGACTATTAACTATACATACATATATAGGAAACTCTTTTAAGAGATGAAATAGTACAAAAGATGTGCTGACGTAACAATGTATCTACTCTAATACGGTCAAATGTAGCAGTGACGTTATTTCCAAGAAAAGAAGGAAGCGTTGGACGATTAATAGTTGGGAAGGTGATAAAGCTACAAAGGTTTCAACCTGTCAGTTAAAATTTTGCCTGCACGGGACGTTAACGTAGTAACTTAATGAAGGAAATTAGGATAGACAAGTAAAGTTTTCAAAAACCTATGGAGACATAGGCAACAGAGCGTAGATGTTTACTTTTAAATTAAATGAAGCTTATCTAATGATGTGTGTATGTTGAATACTGACCCTTGGGCGTGTGCACGGTGCTGAGGTCCTTGTGCAGGCGCTGCTCGAGGTCATCGACGGCGGCTGCGGCGGCGGCTTCCAGGCGCTGCGGGGACAGCGAGGCGCCGCCCGACGATTCCGACGACCACTCGCCTCCGCCCTCACCCCCTTCCGCACCCTCGCCACCCTCCCCGCCCGCCGGTGAGCCTCCACCCCCACCCCCGCCGGCCGCACACTTGTGTCGCTTGCGGTATTCCGTTATAGAGAGCTAGTCAAAACAACCACATCACATAGTAAATGTCATATACACGTCACTACAACTTTGTCGTTTTATTTTTTTCCAAACATTACGAGGAATGCATGATTAAATAAATAAGAAAAAATCCAATAAGGTTAAATAATATCTGCAGAAGAAAGTAGATCAAGATATGAATGTAAACATTTGACAATTCAGATGCAGTTAATTTTAATAGCTCCAGTCTTTGGTGTGATGTATAACATAGAATTTAAAAATGTATTATAGGCACAATAATTGGTCACATTCCAAAGTAACAAAGAGGGATAACATTTCATTCAATACTTTTTCTTACATGAAATAACTTGCTGTTTACTACTAGAAAATACCACAAAAACTTACAATAAATACAGGTTTTTAAGGAATGTACTTGGGAAATTGTATGCGATGAATTTCGTAAACAACTATTATGAAACAATATATCTAAACAAGAAAAGATGGAATCAACATTTTGTACATTTTTCCATTCACATTTAATTAAAAGTTGAATTGGCACAACATTTGAGATTTACAAATGTCGCCCCGCAAGCCGACCTTGACCTTTACACTAGCTTGTTTACATTTATAGCACGGTTAATAAAAATGTATGTTTTACATGACATTTGCACATCCCAATTCACATTTGAGCTACAGATTTTATCATTTAGGCTATATTTAATGTTTTAAAGTGTATCACTTACATTTCAATTGCTTATAAGATTACGTACATTTTACATACAATATGGTAAATTTTTAAGTAAAGGTACAAATATATATAAAAGCTATCAGTTATGACAAGACTAACAGAGAAAGCGACTCACCTTCCTGCGGACGGGCTTGGGCTTGTCAGCGGGCGGCGGGTTGAGGCGCGGGTCGTTGCGTGCGCCGGCGCCGTACGGCTTGCCGGGCTTGGTGGAGGGCGATGGCGAGGGCGCTGCGGAGGGCGAGGGCGCTGAAGAGGGCGAGGGCGAGGGCGAGGCCCCCGCGCTCTTGGTGGAGCTCTTGAGCACTCCCGACAACAACACACTATTGTTAGAGTCCATGTTATTCACTCGAGTCAATATCTCCTGAACACTTTTCAACTCGTCCACCGGTGTGATCGGGTCCTTATCGAATAAACTATTGTCTAAACTTGTAGTCCTATCTATTGCACTCTTTATGATCGACATATTTGGTATGTTCTCGTTTATCGGACTGTCCAATTTGAACGAGTTCGACAGGTTGCTGAAGATACCGGAGAAGAGACCCGTCGAGCTGAACCGCGTCGAGAACGGCACGGTCGAGTCCAGGACGGAAGGTCTCTCCGGTAAGATGACCTCCTTTTCATCTGGCTTGCTGACAACCGGCGATACTCTTGCGTTGGTGACGGTGAGCGTTTCAGTCGACAGTATCGAAGACTCCTCGGGCAGCGGGATGGTCTCCGGCGGGGCGACCAGGGGCATGGGGCTGGGCTCCTCGGGGAGCGGTATGTTCTCTGGCGCGGGCACGAGGATGTTGTCCGAGGCCGGCAGAGGAATGGTCTCGACGGGCGGCAGCGGTATGTTCTCCGGAGACACGTGGATCTTCATGTCATCGTGAATGGAGTTGCTGTGGTCATCGTGCAGGTCGCCGTTGATTTCACAAGATTTGGTGTCGTTTTCTGTCCGTAATTGAATACTGATCTGATCGTCCACCATGTTGAGGTCGAAGTTGAGGTTGACCTTCTTCCGTTTCTCCTTTGGTGGCTTCTTATTCCTACTCTTGAGTATGAGTATGTTCTCCGTGTGGAATGAATGTATTTTCTTCTGTATGTCGTCCATCTCGTCGCGCTGCGGGGACGAGTTGCCGCTCGTGTCCGCGGACTGCGAGCTGTGAACTTTGTCGTTGGGGCTCTCTATTCCCTTCAGTTCACTAATACTGTTTTCGTTTGATTCTTGAATTTTTGCTTGCGTGATGATCGTCGTATCTATCTCCATAGGAACGACTTTGTTGTAATTGCTCTCCTCCATTTCTAAGTTGTTATTGTTGGTATTAATGTCCTCAGGTTTTGTAAATTGTGGTGTTATTTCTTCTTCTGGCGTAGGAACACCTATTATCCTTCGTATATTTTCAGTATCGTGGGGCACTCTAATGTTGACATTCAACACATCGTGATCCATATTGCATTGGTCATCGGAGCCCTGGCCGCTGTCAGACCGGGTCCTGTCTCTACTGTACATACTTTCCATTATATTTCGTTTGTACTGAGTTCTTGTGATAGATTGGGGATCGTCTTTGACGGGGGAATCTTCGGAAGCCATATATGGAGATGTCTCCTCCGTACACTAGGAATAAAATATAATTTATTAAAAAATAGATATAAAAACAATCTCATATGTTTGAGAAGTAAAGTTACCATAATATACTTACATGGATAATAGGATTAGTTTCACAACCTAATGATTCTCTTGCGACTCTTCTTTTCTTCAATGGTGTTACCATTTCATTGGGAGGCGATTCTGCAACAAAACGTTCTGAGTTTATCATAGATTATATTTAACAAAGGAAACATTACATTTCATTCAATATACAAATTAATAAGAATACAAACCTATAACAGGGGAGTCGCTTTCTTCACTGATGGCTTGTCTCAGCCAACGCTTCTTAGCACTGTGCTGTGGTAATGCTGCAGGGACTACTTCCACAGGTTCCGTCGGAGTGCTGCGAGTTATTCTCTTGGCTTTCTTCGGTGGTCTATTGCGTTCTCGTCCTGGTGTTCTTGGCGGTGAGGTGGCCGAAGGCTCCTCCTCATGTTCCATATCCTGTCCACTGAGGTCCCCAATCATAGTAGAGGCGACTCTAACCAAGCTCTCCAGCGACGGTGCGGATACTAGAGCTGGTCTGTATGGTGAATGATAAGGTGACGGAGTACGTTCCGGAGACCGTCCTATCCATTCCGTGGCCATGGTTTTCTTAGTTTTAGGCAGTTTGAAAGCAGACTCCACTGATCCGACGGCTGCTTCCACTAAAAGACATGCCGAGCTTAGGCCAATATCCTGAGAACAAAAAGAAATATGAATTTATATACACAGCTAGAAGTTTTTAAACACCTAGACACACTTTAATCAAAATGAAGATGATACCTCGTTAACAATTTCATGTTGTCGTTCTTCTGTGGTGGTGTGAGGCAAGTCCACTGCGGGCACAGCTCTGGGCGGAGGGGAGAGGGGTTGTGCTTCATCCCCTGACGTCACCATGTCACTGTCTGCAGAGTTAAGGCGACGTCTATTCGATTGCGATGTTGTTCTGGCGCGACCCTTACGTCTGTGTACAAAAAAGCAACATTAATCATATCACGACTAAACAAAATTTCCTGCAAATTATAAATTACTATAGTGTATACAAACCTCTTTCGTTTCTTAGTATTAACATGAATTTCCTCTTCTTCGTCTCTATCCATGCTGTTTGGATGTGGATCAGATTCTCTTCTTTTCTGGCGTTCCTTCACCTCCTGTTTGCGTTGTTCCGCTTTTTCCATACGTTCAAAAGCTTTCATTATTGCTTCCATTTTTCGTTCCTCGCGAGTCTACAATATAAGGTTTTGTTAAAAACAAGTATTTATTTTAAATGTTATTTTAGTATTTGATATACTTACCATTTTTTTCTTATCCTTTTGAGTGGTAGAGAGGGGAAGTTTGTCCTGGGAGTCATCGGTTTTGTCGTCCAAAGAATCCTGATTAGTGCAGGTGGTCCTACTGGAGCGCGCAGATCTGTCGTGGCAGGCGGACTTAGCGATTACTTCTTTTCTTTCTTCTTTAACTACAGGTTTTTCATCTTCAACTTTAGGTATTTCCTTGGGCTTTTTGACTTCTATTATTTCTTCTTTTATTTCTTTTGGTAATATTTTGTCGACTTTAACACTGGCTTCTTCTTTAATGATTTCCATGGGTTCCTCTTTGACGGGTGTGGGTGGTGTGGGAGGCGGCGGCGGCGAGGGCGGTGGAGCTGGTTGTGGTGGTGGTAGCAGAACTGGCGGTTGGAGGACTGATGGCAGTAGGACTGGCGGTGGTACGACTGGAGGCGTTAAGACTGGGGATGGCAGGACTGGTGAAGGTAAGACTGGCGATGGTAGGATTGGTGATGATAGAACCGACGGAGGTAGAATCGGAGATGGGGGCAGTGGAGCTTCCTCTACAACTGATTTTATATCAGGAATTAAATCCTCAGGTTGAATCTGATCTTCTTTTATATCAGAATCGACATAATCTGGTTCATCGAGCTCCGGTTTCATTTCTTCCTTGGCCATTAAATCTATTTCTGATTTTATATCTTCAAATGGCTCAGTTTTAATTGGCTCGTCGAAGCTGAGATTGAGGGTCGTTTTGATCGGTGACATCGGTGAAAAATCGTGCTTTATTGGTGACCTCTTTTCGGTTTTTATTTGCATGAACGGCGGTGGACTTTCCTTCATCGGAGTCGTCGGCATCGGGAGAAGTGGCGGAGAGACGGGGGACGAGGAACTGTAACATCTGTTTCTGCTTCGCTTTTCTCTCTGTGGGTAATCAATACTCTTTCTGGTAACTATGGGATTTAATCCATTCACTTTGCAATGTTTTGGATTACCACATGCACAAGGCTGTTTGCTGCCGTTAGTGTCGTGACCGATAGTAATTTCCGTGTTGGATTGGATTACACCAATAGACACTAAATAGACGTGCAAGGCGCCCTTTATGATACAGTGTTGAAGTTCGGCATTAGGTTTGCACGAACGTCTGACAAATCTGGCTTCATTGCCATATGTCCTGGTATCAATGCATATCTGAGTGTTATCTTTTGGTAGCCTGTAGAAGAATACAAAGGGACCAGGTTTCTGGCTTCCGGCTCTCGCGGTGTTTTGTATTTGCGGCCTGTGCTGGTTTGATAACATATATTTGCCGCGTAATTCTATTACTGGAGTATTTTCTTTGAGGTCCTTTGTGGCGATCAGTATTTTACCTCCTGCATGCGGGACCGTGGTACATAAATGAGCAGTAATTGCTGATGCCATGCTTTGGGAGCTACCGAGCTTGCTGCTGTATTTCATGATCTTAGCTCTAAGTTCGGGACTATAGTGATTTGTCATAGCGGCTTCATAAGAATCCTGCCAATGTGATGGATTCGCAAGGCCGCTGTTATATTTTGTTCGATTAAACATATCTTTCTTACGTTTAACTCTCTTTTCTGTGAGTTTTCTTTTAGCACCTTTTCGTACCATTTCAGGTTTCTTGGGTCGTTTGGGAGCGCGTTTTGGTAACGCTAAAGTAGGCTGAGGCAACGGTGGCAGAACTGGGACATTAGAGTTGTATGTGGTAACGCATGAGCCACTTGTGTTTGTATACGTAGTGACGGTGAGTAACCTTTTCCTTCGCTGGCCGGGAAGGTGCGGCGTCTCAGAGGAGTCAGAGTCGGAACCTGCGAGAGCGCTCAATTCCTCCCTCTTCCTCAACTGTATGGCACGAGCGTGACGTCTGTCTATGGGCCGCGGCTGGCACACCTCGCACATGTAAGCATCGGGTATGTTTTGTTGGTCTATACCCATGCAATCTACGTGCTGCCATTCTCCACATCTATCGCAGCATATCATGTAGCCGTCGTCATGAGTGAAGTCACAAATACATCGCGTTTTCCCCTCCTCCTCCCCTTCGGGAGCCGTTTCTGTGTCACTGCCTCCTCGGGGACCTGGAGCTCGGTCCCCATCTATGGAAGATATAACCGACGCAGTATCTTCGTCTTGGGTTGTTGCTGTTGCAAATGGAGTAGACTTAAATGTAAGAACTCCAGTCTGAGCTGATGTCACAGGAGGTTGAATGACAGGTACGGTAGCTGGAACTGTTGCTGGTGGCACATCAAATGCTGCAGTTGACATTATCACAGGAGAATTTCTTTTCAATGGGCTCATTGGTGTAGTGATCGGAGCTGGAGACACAATAGCTGCTGGTGCAGATGTTGTCACAGGTGGTGGAGGAGTGGAAACTGCTGGCTGCTTCTGTGCCGGTAAGGAGTATGTATGATCCAACATGATAAATGCCAAGGCTTGATAAGAATATCTACGAAGTTCTTCAGACAAATTAGGCCTCTCTTCCATTCCAATTATATCATCCGCTGTTGTTAATGTTGACTTGTCACCACTGAAAAGAACAAAAATAATATTAAACAAACAATTATGTATCACAAAACTAGTAACTTTATGATGTTTACTTACAATACAATTCGTTTTTGATTTAAAGGTTTTATTTCCGCAGGTTCTTCAATTATTGGTGGTGGGATTATTGTATGGTTGACAGTAGGACTTTGATGTAACACAAGTTTAGGCTGAGACAGAGACTGCAAGATCTGCTCTGTTAGTTGCTGATTTGCTGAGACTTGAGACACGGTAGAAAGTTGGTTATCTGATGGTGCATAAGTCTGGACATACCGAAGATTTGGCGTTGACCCTGACTGAACGTAATGTGGACCTTTCGGAAGGTTTATATTAAGTGGTGCAGTAGAAAGTAGCACTGGACCACAAGGTGATTGGAGTACTAAGCGATCTGTTTTTGAAACCTTCTGAAACGATAGCGGCTGACTTTTAGGTGCAGGACTTCCAACTTTTTGAATAATCTTTGAGGGGCTCGTTTCCAACACACCAAAACTCTGTTGGTTCTTATATGTCACGCTGGCCACGGGCCATGATTTTCCTTCTGTTTTATGAGATGCCCCCGCCTGTTGTATTATTTTAATTGCTCTGGATTCCTTTTGACCGGACCCTTGATTTGTGCTCTTGGAACTTTTTAGTGTATTTACAGATTTTCTTCCAGAGTGCACAGACATTTTATTTGGTCCGGAAACAACGCGTGATAAAATATGGCACTGCGTATTGCCGGTAGAGGCTGCCACCACAGCATTTAAATTAGCACCATTATTAACTTTGTTTATTGCCTTATTTAAATTTGTGCTCTTAGTATATGTATGGCTATAAGAGACATTCTTAATAGGACTGTTATTAATTATAGTAGGCGATAGAGAACAACCAATGAGGGACTGGCTTTTGGGAGACTTTATGTTCAACACAGAACTGTTTAAATGCTTCTGTGTAACAACATTGGCACTCAACTTATAAACATGATTTTGAGTTCCATAAACAGGAGTTGTGAACTCCTTATCTTGTGATATAAATTGCTGAGCAAAGGTTGGACTCTTTGGAAGAGAAATATTGCTCAATATTTGAACTTTTGATGCCTTAGGTCGACCAATATAATTAGTTTCAATAATGTTAGTTCTTCTGCCTGCCTGATTTGTGTCATTAACATAACTTTCACTGGTAATTATTATTTGAGATACTCCAGGTGGCCTTTCATCATCATTCTTAATATCCGGAGGGGCACTGGTTGTGAGAATGGTGGGTAACCACAAGGTTTGGCTACCCGAAGCATCTTGTGCGACATTCTGTATTGCAGTTATATTGCCTACTGCAGCATCTACATTAATTGTAAAGTTTTGTGGGAGTTTGGTGACATTCTGCATGATTGCTGTGTTCAATGGGGCCTGGATTAATGTAGTAGCATTTTCTACATAGTTTCCATCTCCAGAATCCTCTGTTTCTTGTAATATGGGGTATGCAATGCGGCCCACAGTATCTAGGGTAGTCTCTTCTATTCTCACAATTCTGGACAAAGAATCAACAGACATTTCAGTATTGCAGTGTTTATCATTAATACGAAAATCTACTTCTTTATCTACTTTGTGTATAGATTGGATAATACTCTCTGGATTTGTTGAATCGGGTTCAGGGTCACCTTCTAAAGGTGATAGAGGTACCGGCCTTAAAACTGGAGTTCTAATGCTTGATACATTCATGTTATCTGTTAATTTGTGTTCCAAAACATGCTCATACATATTTTCACTGGAGGTGGTCGGCCCGTAATCCTATAACAAATGATTCCAACATTAATCAATGTCTACATGTATTTTTATGAATTTCAAATTTATTTGTAACATAAAATATAAACTTTTGTTTATTTAATGAACATATTATCATACAATGAAAATATCGGTAGTAAATAAACATTAACTGGGATTGGGAACCCTATCAAATTGCCCTCATTCAGCCTAACTTTTGATAATGTAACACTTTAGGGACACACACAAATTTAATATAAAATAATGAACACACTACTCACCAACATTTAGCCGCAGTAATAGAAAAATACAAACTAAAGAAGGTATAATATAATAAACACAGTTTTATTTATAAAATCTTTATTTCATGTGATTTATAACTTCATTATGTAGCTCATGTAATAAGTGAAAATGTGATGACTGTAAAAGGATTAAATTACATGATAAATTCACAAAACTAAGTGTTATAGGTTTATGTTAAATGAAATCTTTCTGAAGGTCAAATAGAAGAGAGCAATGCAAATTGTAATAAAGTAGATGGTACTTACTTGCCGGGCCGTAGATTCATATTCTGATGTAGCAGACATGCTGTGAATACCATCTTGGGTCGAGCCCCAGATGACGCGTCGGAGAGCCCCTGGGCCTCCGAACTTATTTATGTGACTGCAATCGAAAATCGTCTTTTTATCCTCAAGTCTTCGTTATCCTCACAATAAAGCGGGCTGAACATCTTTATGTTCATAGCAAAATATTTTTAGTCCACAAATACTATTAGACTGTCGAGGTCATTGTTCCAGAAAATAGTCGAAAGTCTCTTTATTTCGTTTCCTACGGGAAAATATAAAGAATAACACAAAAATAAAACGCATTAAAGGCGATGGAACGCCCAGCGAGAGACAAATAAATAGATAGGTTAAAATTCACTGCCGCCATTATTGTGGTACGAAAACTGAAATGTCTCTAAACATCAAAAAAGTAAACACTAACCTAAAACTGAAAATTACAATGAAAATCAATGGAAACTATATAAAGATAATCATATTAGCTATCTTAATATGCTAACTAATTCCGCTTAGCAACAAAGAAATGAAAAATATAAGTACATGCTAGAATGAGGTTCGAGTATTAATAACATTCGAACTAAAACTATACTGAATTAAATATTAAAGATTTTCTTGAAAAACCAGAAAAACGAAAAAGAAAATGCTTATTTTAATGTAAAGTTGGAAACATTACAATGGTTATGCTATGAAATCCAGATGTAAACACTTTCTGAGAAAATACTTCAAAAAAATAGTACTAACCTTTGCGTAAACGAAACAATAACACCTATGATACAGCGAAACCGTTTTCGTCAAATAATTGCATAGCACATACGAAAAAGGCCTTAAAGTCTGAAACTACGACCAAAACATTCACAAGACTCGAAGATGGCGGCCATTGCATTTTCTTGATACAAAACAACGGGGGGTTTCACGGATCATGTCTAAATACCTAGCACTTCCGGTCAACTGCGCGATTTTAATTTTGGATATATTACAATTTGGTTTATAACGTTTGACAATTACAATGACAAACTTAAAAAATATATTTTTAGAGTATTACGTAAGAAATTTTTTATTATAAATTAAAACATTATATCTTGAAGAAAAAAGGACATACACAAATACTGTTTTCATAGACATGAATCACTATTTTCTCTATGATTGCTTGTCTATGCCTTTTTCGTAGACATTTTTAATTTTTATTTTTATTCTGAAATTAAATGCATAGACAATTCAGTTCTTATTGAATTTTTTATTTCTTTTCCACAAAAAAAAAACATTTTTCTTAATTGATTTTTGTAAAATATATACTGAAAATTTCCGACCGATACCGGAGTGCATAAAGAGCATTATTTTCGAGGAAAAGTAAAACTACGACAAGCACGGTTTACTCAAGTGATAGTAGCTCAGAAAAATTACCCAGCGCCTGCTATCGGAAACGAGGTTTCCTTTGATCTAGGGCATATTAAGATTTTTTTAATCAATGGCCTATTTTAAGTTGTGAAAAGCCTGATTTAAGCTTTGAAAAATGGCGATTTCATGTACTTTTATATACTGTGTTGTTGTTTTTACTATTCTTTGGACGTTGGCAACACTTGTAGTATGTCAGAGCACGTTTAATTTTTGAAAGAGGTTATTTTACTACGGTTGTTTCAAAAAAGAATTAAAAATGAATGACTTTGTGTTAAACGATAGTGAAACAGACGTCGACTCTGATGAAGAGGTATGTTTTTAATGAATCGAGAGTTATCCACAGCATTAATAACTATATGAATCGAGTCTGGTTTGTCAAATGTTGTTTAACTTAGTTTTGTGTGTACTTCTGTGGACAATTATTGTCTTTATAGTCACAAATAAATTGCAATTTTTTTCCAGTTGCAAGAAGCTTTTGCAAAAGGTATTCTCAAGCCCGGACTAAATGAAGAAATAGAAAAAACCGTCAAAACGTACGTTAATAATGTTGCGGAATTGAAGGCGAAGTTAAAAGAAATTGAATTAAAATTGCCATGGATAGAAAAATTAGACTTGATAACAACAGTGGCACCGATGGCACCAGATGTAGCTCTCCAGATTGAAGAAACAGCTCAGAGACGAAAGTAAGTTCCGCAATTCATATGACAATTACCTCCTTTAATATTTATTTGTTTTTATTTTTAGCGCTTGATCATCATCCCACTTTATATTATTTGGCTATGTGGCCGAAAGATGTTATACACGAAAAAAATTATAGCATAGAATAAAGTGGCAAAAGAGTACATGGCCACCTGAGTTTGTTAAAATAGAAAATTGCCTTCCATAGATGTAAAAAGCTAAAAATCTTGCGATATAGCCTGTTTTAACAGTAATATATCCAGAATAGAGATGGCAAAATGGCATGTCTGCTACTATTATACTTGATTATTATGCATTGTGAACAAAATTGTGATATGGTATTAATTGAGAAGGATCCCTACATTATGTAATATTCCCAACAATGACAAGGTCAAAGTTATTTGATGGCTTGTATATTAACATTAGGTTTAGAAAACTGGCACATTAATTAGTAAAGGTTCCCCTTCTCTGGTCTAGAATAATATAATGAGTCAATGTTGTCAACATTTTATCTATTGTTACATGTAAAACTAAATGTTTTATTTTTATCTACTTTTGTTTTAACATACAGAAATGTAAAGGAAAATTCAAAAGGAAATCAGAAATATGACCCAACACAGGACCCCATACTGAATGAGTTTAAGCGAGAGAATCTTATTCATCGGCAGGCGCAAGCTGCCGTTATTGATGGCATCAAAAGGTTAAAGGATCTAAATGTACCTACAAGAAGGTGCGAATAATAAAATCATTAAAATGTTCTTAACTCTTATAGTTTTTATAATAATCGCACAGAGGTCTAAATAAATTAATTTATACTTTAATAATGTTATATTACAAATGTAAAAGTTTGGATGGATGGATGTTTGTTAATAGGTGTCTTTGGATTGGCTCAATGTACATCTTTATGGATATGGTCATCCATTAGCTACTAATTATTTTTTATAGTTCATGTGGATGGAATTGCAGCTAGTATTACCTTTATACCTTTCAATGTGTGTAGGGTCTATATCAATAAATCTTAAGCATCTGACAGTGCTGTAAAGTGAGTAACTTTCAGACCGGATGACTTCTTTGCGGAGATGGCCAAGTCAGATGAACACATGCAAAAGGTTCGTAAGAACTTGATGGCCAAGCAGGCGGCGCAAGCTCGCACAGAGAAGGTGCGCCAGCTCAGGGAACAGAAAAAGATTGCCAAGAAAGTGCAGGTAATGTTAAATTATAATATAAATTTCTATGATTGTGAGCAAAAACTTTTCAGTACTTGAATCAAATCTGGACAAGAGTCAAGGGACCATGAGTTGCTCAGTTCAGAAGACTTCTGCCACGATTGTCCCAATGACTTGCTTTTTGTGGTTTCTTGATTCCAGGTACACTGTATTGTATCAATTAAGTAGTCATTATTTTGAAGCGTCAATAGCCTAATGGTTAATGATACAGATTTCCAACCACAAGGTCGGGGGTTCGAATCCCGCCATTCGACTATTGTCGTAAACCATATCCTAGCACAAGCCTAGAGCTTAGTTGGAATGGTTAAAGAAATATTAGTAAATTTGCAAAAAAATCTAATATTTAAAAAAAAAAATTATGTGTATTACTCAAGTAGTAATGAATCATCAATTAAAATGTACTGATCTTAACTGACTTATTCTTTATTTTAGATCGACACAAAACTAAAACAAGTAGCTGAAAAGAAACATATGCTGGAACAATTAAAACGGGTTAGAAAAGGCAAGTCAACTGACTTAGATTTCTTAGAAGACAATAAAGGTAAAGGTAACAATAAAGCAAACAGCAAAGATCCTAGAGCCAAAGTGTCAAAGAAACGAGCCATGAAAGATAAGAAATTTGGTTTCGGAGGTAAAAAGAAAGGATCTAAACTCAATACCCGTGATTCTACGAATCAAATGGACGACTTCAACAGCTCAGCGAAGAAGAAACCATTTAACTTTAAGACTAAGAATTTCAAACCTAATAATAAGAAAAATCAAAGACCTGGCAAATCAAAGCGACGTAATGCTAAGAGATAATTGTGATGCTAATAAAGTTATTTTCTTAATTATTTTTGATTTCATTTACTCAACTACCTGTAGGCTACTCATAAAAATAATACGGTCTTCACTTATTCAATTAGTTAAACATATTTGTAAACTAAAAAAAGTCTTTATAAGTAACCTAAGTGTTCGTACAGACTATGTTCTATCTATTTCTAGTTCTATGCCAAATTTATTTGATATGTTATATTTACTAAAAAAAATCGTACTTTAAAAACGTGGGTAGGTTATGAAAAATGAAAGAATGTATGCATATAAAATATATTTAATATATATGTTCACCACTTGCGACCCTTGCCCTTCTTCTTTTGCTGCTGCTTCCGTTGCCAGGCGCTGTCTGCGGGCTTCTCGGGGCGCGGGCTCTTGGCCGCAGCCCCCGCCCCCGCCGGAGACGCGCTCACAGGCTGCTTGCTCATGTCGCTAAAATATTACAACACATTTTAATTAAATCAACTTAAAACACTTTATTGAGACTCAAAATAAAATAAATACACTAAATTGGACATAGATGGCATTAGTAGTTTCTAGGCAAGTTTAAAAATGTATTTCAAGTGTGTGAGTAAAAAGTATTTATTAATTTTAGGCAGGAAATACTGACTATTGGTCGACGGCGGCGGTGGTCATGCCCTGGCTTCCCTTGATGACGTCACGCCTGACGCCGCGCCGCTTGCGGTACGCCGTGCGCTCGTACTTCGGCAGCCATCTGCAATTAGTCACAATATTCAGTATACAGTATATTATTATGTAATCGTTTCCTGATGGTGAAGTTTGATGACATATATTATTTTACTAGTTCTCTTTTCTCTGACATCTCACCTCTCAGGATCCGGAGGCTTGGAGAGATCAGCATTGGGCGGCAGCTTGGTCTTGCGTTTCCTCTTCTGTTTCTTGGTCACTCCCAATTCGGAACCAGGCGTTCTAAAAACATGAATTATAAGCAATATTTGAAATGTAAAAGGTTTTGATAAAAAGCTGTGAATATGTATTCACCCCGGCGATTGTTCCTGCTTGCTCTGCACCGTCTTCTTGACGACCTTGGCTCCCATCATCCATTTGGACGACTCGAGCGCCTCGATATCGATTGCTCCCTGTATCACAATAAATAAAGTTAAACTACCCTCAAAATTAATTATCAATATTTTTCAAATAACTATCGAGTCGCGATGTAATGCAAACAATTTTTACGCGCTCGATTCCAATAAGCTTTCAAAGTTCGTATATTCAGTTAAGTATGGTAAGTAGGTGTGTACCTGCAGCTGTATGGGCGGCAGTTGCGCGGCGAGTGCTCGTGCACGCTGCGGGTCTGAGGGTGCGAGCAGCTTGACGAGACGCGCACGACTGCGGCGGTCGTGCGGCTGCGCTCCGGCCAGCGCCTCGTGCGCCTGCGCCGCCGCCGACACGCGCCCCACGCGCTGGTGCACCTCGCCCGCCGCGCGCCACACGCTGCGCAGCGCCACCGAACCCTGACAAATTACATTTTATATGTTCATTTCATACAACTTTAGCATTTCTCTGTTACATTTAACTCTATCTTTCTTCAGATATATGACGCCCACTGCTGTGCATCATCCAGGATACTCTCGCTACATTGACCAGATGATCGGTTCAAATTTGCCTAATTAAATTATATAATCAATTATTTTTGACCGAGTGAGTGACTTCATACCGTGTCGTTCTTGTAATGCTGGTGTACATCTAAGAACATCTGCGAGGCGCGCTCGTGGTCTCCGTCAGCGCAGTACAAGGTGGCCAGCGCGCCTATCACGCCCGGACGGTACTTG